CGGTCCACGCAGCGCGGGAGGCCGAGCGCCGCGGCCGCAGCATGGCAGGAGAGCGGTGCGAGCACGCCGGCACCGCAGGCAGGCACCGGAAGAACAAGCGCGTAGCTGGAGCGTGCACCATGTCCCCGCACCGCCGGCAGCGCGCACACAATTAGCTTGTGTAAATACCTAGCTCGGGTTGGCTTAATAAGCGCTGTGGCATTTCAGTTTCCTGAATCAATATGTACCTTGGTGCCCACTTTGTTTGCCAGCCCGGCTGTGACAGCTGTCACACGCGCCGGCTTCACGCTCGGGGGTGTAGGGCAGGTTTGTTGCCGTCATAAAAAGGCCCGTGTTACCGCCGAGTCTCAGTCTGGCAGGAGGGGAAGAAGCAGTGCCAGGCTGGGAATGGGGGTCGGACGCTGTCCTGTACGGGCTGTCCAACCCCTCCTTCCTTCTAGCTGTGTTTGACATTTATCACCAAGGTGCGAGGGTCCAATTCTCAGCCGGGGAGCTGCTAAGCGGGGTCCTGGAGCAACGCCTTGGCCTCAGAGCAACTGGTTTGCCCACGCCAGGGGAATTCTTGCAGCTTTCCATTGCTTCTCGGCCTCTTGTGGGCTAGGATCAAGGGTAGGGAGTATCAAGTCCCAGACTAAAGAGTCTGGGATGGAGGATGCTTGCCTGTAGTAGGAGCATCTGAATCCCAAGACCTGCGGGCTTGGCCCTGCAAGCAAGATGCCTGCCGATGGATCTGGGAGCATCTGAAGTCCCCGGGTGACAGGTCTGGGATGGAGGATGCTCGCCGGCTGCAGCACCGCACGCGGTGTTTGGGACGACTGAGGCTCTGCCTGCTTGATCGATACGGTTTTTGGAATGATTGAGTTTTGCTCAAATTGATAAGAGTTGGAACGGATTTGGCTAATTCGACGTGGAATACAAAATATATAAAAAAAAAAAAAAAAAAAAAGTCGTGCAGCTTCTGCTGGAGCAGCTCTAGCGCCCGTGCTTTGGAGCAGAGGCCTTTGCTATGGGGAGGGGCCCACAGAGGAGACTATTTTCCACAGGGGGAATAACTCCCCCAACACACCTAAAGTCCAAGAGGTTTCTTTGGCACTTTCCATAGGCGTCCACAGCCAGAAGAGGTAGGCAGCCTGATCTGCAGAGATTTTCACCCAGTGGTCCCTGCCTGCAACACTCAACCTGCAATTGAGCTAAAGCATGTGTTTTATATGGGCTAAAATGCTTCACATTTGCTCCGGTAGCTAATTAGTGTTTCAGGACCAGACGATGGGCGAGTGTCGCGTGTGGACATTCAGCACCTAGCGTGCCTGGCAGCGTGCAAGGCGGCAGTCAGAGATGCAGGCCCTGCCCCGCGGTGCCTGCAGTGTACAAGGGGTGCGTGACACTACCTGCTAGCTCGTGGGTCACCTTGTGCCCCCAGGAGGTGCCCGGGGTCGAGCACGTCTGCGGGAGAGGTGGGCTGGAGTCAAGCTGCGCAGCGCATGTGCACGATCTCTGCCCGAGGCTTTGCCGTTTCCAGCTGCAGGGACAAGCCTGGGCTGGCGAATCCTTTTTTGTCCGGTGTCGGTTCAGTTTTTTTAAGCTGCCCATTGAAAGGGCATGGGGGAGACTGGCTTTAGGGCACAGAAGGGTCAGCATTACAGCCTGCCTAGTCTGACCGGGAGCTGGAGTGAAGAGACGGGGCAAAGGGACAAAGCCAGTGTGAAACTGTGCTCCTAAGTGGCCCAGGTCGGTGTTTTGGCGCAAGTGGCCTGTGGCATTTACACCTGAGAATCTGGCCCTAGAGGCGTTTGAGTCCCGGAGCAAATAGCCTGCTCGGGACGGCTGGGTGGACGATGCACGCTCCCGCGTGGTCACGGACACTGCTCTCAGCTCCTGCAAATCCCTGTAAAGCAAACTAACCTTAAGGGCAGGGAGTCCCTGCCGCAGAGGAGACTCCTGCGCCTCCTCCAAGGCAGAGCCACAGCGCCGGCTCCGCGCGCGTCGCAGCGGTCGCGCTTCTCCTGCAGCTGGGAAGCCGGCGCGCGCGCTGCCGGCCCAGGGGTGGTTGCATCCCCCGAGCAGCCGGCTGGGAAACAGGCCTCCTTCGGGTTTGGGGAACACGGGTCAGGCCCTGGTCGTGGTCTGATACGATGGATTTCACTGGCGTGAGGCAGCCGGCAAGCGAGAGAGGAGCCGCCCGGGGCAGAGTTGAGCTCAGCCTCTCCAAACTCACCCAGAGCCCAGACTGGCCTTTCTGCCAAAGGGGTGCACAGCGTCCCGCTTTCTGCTGGATTAGTCTCCCTTCATCTCGTTAGGTCCCTTCGAGCATCTCCCTTGTCTCTCCGGATTATCAGCGCAGCGTCCGGCGTCCCCGGGCAGCGCCGAGAACGCTGCTTTGGTGGGCGCCGGCTGCAAGCCCCGGCTCCGGTCCCGCCTGCACGGCTGGAAATCAAAGGCAAACAGCGGCTGCTGCAGGAACCGCCCGTGCAGGGTATCTTGGAGGTCCTGCTTCAAGTAAAAACCCAGGCAGCAGGACGGTGGTGACACCACAAATCCATGACGAGGGGTTTGCCTGAGCCAGGAGCTCCCGGTCGGCTTGTTTGTGGCTTGAGCTTCACAACCGCTTTGGATCCCGGCTGAACGGCGTGGCCCCTTCCTAGCTGCCAGGCAGTCTCACACGGTGGACCGAAAGGTCTTCTGGTATTTAGATTTTCTTTTGCAATGTGCTCCTCTGAACCCTGAATGTGCATGCGAGGACGTTAATGCAGGCATTACCTAAAAGCAAACAGACTACCAGAAAAGGCCGGGACCTCGCCTTTCAATTAAACCAGCCACCGAAGCCATGCAAATAGCTTCTTTGTGTGAAATACACGGTTGTGCAGAAAGCCAGGACAAAGGACACGACCCACTGAGGCCCCATTTATAGCTTAAGTGGTGCTTAGGCCTTACACTATGCATTTCACCATTAATTAGCAGCAGCTTTTCACGGGAGCTGTGGCCAAGAACGTACACGGAAGAGGAGCAGGGTACGAAACCATCACCTTGTCCTTCCCACGCGGCGGTTGTGCGCCGCCCTGCGCCCACAGCCCCTGCGTCTCGGCACGTCGGGGTTTCCGTATGCAAAGCCTCTCCGGTTTCATCCTGAAGCCAACTGTGGGGAAAGAAAATGAACTCTGTGCCTTACGCTGCTAGGATATTACTTCCTGCAACTTAATTTCTGGCCCGGCCTCCCTCTGTGACACGGTGTACTTGGAGCAACATTGAGATGAAGGCCAGAACGCGTGTCCTCTGCGGCGGACGGCGCTTGCTGGCTGCTAAGTGCTGTGCTGCAGGAGGAAGGAAGGTCACAGACACCTTTTAGGATGCTGTAAAGTATAATCTCGCTGACTGCTGACAAAGCCTCACCCATTTCCGAGCAGAACCCGTGCAGGAAAAAGCCCCTGCAAATACCATGCCTGCCTCTCCTACATGCAGTCTTCCCGCACTGAGGAGCAGGTAAAGCGGGGCAGGAGAGTTGCTAAAGGCGGTTATCAAACAGAGCCCAGCGCTCCTCCGCAAACCTCGGGGCCGGTCCGAGCAGGGACCCAGACGGCAGGAAACTCGAGCTAGCGTCACCTCGTCGGGTACCCGGCCTGCGTGCGCGGTGGCCCTGCGCCGCCATGCATTGCCTTCGATCGGTGGAAGATGCTTGTGCGAATTCAGGTGTAGCATCCGCCCCTCTCGCCCCACCCCGGTGAGCTGAAGGGCTGAGGTTGACGGATGAGCCACGACAGGGGGTCTGGGTGCATGGTCCAAAGCCCTTGGCAGATAATGGGAGTCTTGCTGTGCGTTTTGGTGGGGCCACGAAAGCCCCGACATGCCAAAGCCTAGACAGAGCCTGCACGGTGCGGCACGGGGAGCGGGACATCCGAGACCGCAGCCAAGCTTGGGGGAATGGAGGGAGGTCCTGGAGTCACGGGGTGGGGTAGGGTGGGCTTCGGGGCCTGCGAGGTGACCACCCTCTGACCTGAAGGGGTTCAGCACCACGCAGGATCGGGGCCCCTGGGAGGCGGAGGGGCCAGCCGGGGCCGGGCGTGTTGGATGCAGCGAATGCCAGAGTCTCTCCTCCAGACAGCCCGGTGGTCGATCTCACAGGGGGGCCGTGCCCAGGCGAAGGCATCCCCGGGGGGGATCGCTTCTGCGGGAGCCCTGTGGTTTCTAACTTTCTCTCTCTCTCTCTCTCCTCCGTGTCACCGCACAGAAAGCGGACTTGGCTGTTGCTCCTCTCACCATCACGCACGTGCGGGAGAAAGCGATTGACTTCTCCAAGCCCTTCATGACCCTGGGGGTCAGCATCCTGTACCGGAAGCCCAACGGGACCAACCCCAGTGTGTTTTCCTTCCTCAACCCCTTGTCTCCCGACATTTGGATGTACATCCTCCTCGCCTACCTGGGGGTCAGCTGCGTGCTGTTTGTCATAGCCAGGTAAGGGGTGCCCAGCGACCTGGCCGCCGTCACGGACCACCTCCGTCACCTCCCCCTGCGCTGCGCGGGGCCGTGGGACCCCCCCACCCCTGGGAGCCCACGCGCCACACCGGCTCCATCGCTGCCCTGCCTCTATCCCTGCACCTTCTCCTTCACCCCTTCCCCTCCTCTGGAGACGGGCGTCTCTCCTGCTTCCGAAGCATTTCCATCTCCCGTCCCCAAGTCTTCCACATGCAACCTCCCCCTGAAACCGTCCCCGTGTCAAGAGAATAGAAAGCCCGTTGCTATGAATCTGGCAGTGCGACTGTTTACAAAATTAATATGCATCTAATTAACATGTTTAAAAGCTTCCCTATCTTTAAAGGCAGGGGGGATTTGCATGCATTTGCATGCGTTATTGATTTCCTACAGCCTTTGTGGAGCCGCGCAGCCCAGGAACGTGCAATCCCACCGCCCGCGCTACAGGGACAAAGCATGCACCCCCCGGGTGACGATGCTCCCTGCGCGGCCAGGCACGTTTGCCGGCCCCTCGATGCAGCAGGCAGGTGTCTCCTGGAGGCCCTCATCCCCATTAGCTCCCCCTCTCCTCTTGATCAGTGTCCCTAATGGAGTCATTTTGCAATGGCTTTGCTTCCATTTTGTCCGCCACTTATCCATATTTATGGGACCCGGGGAGAGCGAGCTGCCTTGTTTTGCTCCTCTGAAAGGGTCCTTGGGGTTTGCTTAATGCAGCCCGCAAATGAGCGGTTACGGCCATGCTCTGCTGTTTATCGTTTCAAAGCAGAGAAATGGAGAGCGCGGAGAGCACCCTGCGCCGGCATGTCTGACGCGCGGCTCTGCGGCTGCCCGCTCCCCCCGTTACCCCGCTCCCCTGTGCCACTGGTCCAGGAGGAGCTGTTGCAAACAGGCCCTGGCAGGGTCCAGCGTCCCGCTGCCCCCGTTACAGCATAGGGCTGCTAGGCTGGGGGCTAGACATGGGGGGATATCTCCTCACCCCTGCCGCACGCCCGAGTGTCTAAGGCAGAAGCAGGTGGACAGAAAACGGAGGGCGGGGGGAGGATTTAGGGGACTGTCCTGCTGCAATGACAAGCACAAGACCCCCGGCAGCCCCGGTCCGTCTCTGTCGTGTTACGCAGCAACGCCCCGGTCGCCACTCCCGATGGGGGTGAATGCCCCTCCGCTCCCCACAGACCAGCTCCAGGCACGGGGCGGAGGCCATCAAGTGTGCGAGTCCCAGGGCTTGCAGGGCATGCTTTATGCCCCTCTGCCCCTTAAGATCCCAGCGGCCGGTGCGTGCCAGCTCTCTGGAGCACCTGAGCTCCTCCGAGAGCTCACGGGACGGTGCTTGTCTACACGCGCCCCTCCATCCCCGGACACGCCAAGCAGGGATCGCAGGAAACACCATCTCCCTGCCCGGCTGCGGTTTGCAGCTGCCCCAACCGCCTCTGCAGCATTTGGAAGAGATTATCTGGGCTTTTCTGTGCAATACCCTCATGGTACTGAGTGGCGGTTGTCAGCTCGCTCTGCTTAGCAAGCAGAATATTTGTTCTCTGCACAACATCTGGGACAGCCAGGCAGCTACCTGGCCTGATTCCTCCCCTGCAATCAGGTCTATCAGGTGCAACTCCCCTGAAAGCCAAGGACACACCGGCCCCAGCTGACTGAGACTGTGTAAAAGCTTCACACGTACATGGGGGAAGGCCTCTTCTTTCCTGCCCTCACAATGAGCCTCAACCAGGGGAAGACACGGAGCCTGCAGCTGGCCCATCGGGCTCCAAAGCACTCTGCAGACATCAGCTCAAGCACTTTGGGCAAGGACCATTTGCTGTTTTGTGTTTGCAGAGCACCGAGCATGTGTCCGGCCCCTAGAAACACTGCCACGCAGGCAATACGGCAGGAGAATAACTGCCCTGTGGTCACGCCTTTTGCAGGTGATAGGAGAGGCTCAGAGCAAACTGAAATGAGGGGAGACAGTTAAATAAAATGCAAACATCTTGGCTTTATGAGCCGCCGTGGGGACCAGCCCCGTCTGAGCGAACCATGATGGGGGTGCAGCCAGAATCTCCCACCTGGAGCCACAGGCACCTCAATAGGAGTTTGCACAAGGTGAAAAACGATTGGGATTGCTTGTACGCTATGCCCCTCGCCCCCAAAGATTTGCAAACCAGAGATGGGCCCATCCCGATCCAAAGAGGATGGCACGAGGCAGCGTCTCTCCCAGGAGCAATGAACAGCTGGCGAATTTTATCCCACCTGCGGCTGAATTTCAAGAAGGGCTGAGACGTCCCCGTTTATCATGTGTATGTCACGCAGCAGCCCGGCACAGCCGGCATTCGTCTCCTGGGACATTGCCATCGCTGTCTGATGCTGCAAGGGCGCCTGACGGTGGGGGGCCCCGAAGGAAGTGCACGGTTTGCTGCGCTATCGGCACCCCTCCTCTGGCTGCTGAGTCCAGTGGGAGTGGGAGTGGGAGTAGGTCCTGCGCCATTTGGCTGCATGCCAGAGAGAAGGCACGAGACCCTCAGCGGGCAGGAAAGCTCATCTGGGAAGATGAACGCCAGCTAATTACAAACAGCAAAGCATTCCTTGTGATGATTGATGGCGCTGCTCGGCTCCGTGTCTCTGCTAACAGCGTGGGACATTGCTAGATGGACTCCGTTGCCACCACGCATTCGATTGCTTGCGTGTCTTGAAATTGGAATTTGAGTGCATTTCCAGATCGACGGGTGTGTTTATCTTTCCCAGTTCAAAGTGGGGCCCTGCAGCACCCAGACTCGGCCCCTCCCAGGCTCTGTGCACGCACTGCTTACATCCGCACACAAAATCCTCTGCGAGAGTTACTGAAGAAGGGCTCCACGCAGCCCCTAGATGCGACTCGCTGTTTGCCCCGGGGTGAAGTGTAGCCGTGGAGCTGAAAGGAAAGTCCAGCTTTGCTCTGCACTGGGGCAAAGGCATGCTGTGAAGCAGACGGGCCTGCCTAGCCCAACGCACGGGGCTGGGTCGGCTCGCTGCTCCGCAGCAATGTGCACGGAGGGATCCCAGTGCTCCGATCCGCATCTGGGGCCAGCTCCCTGGACAAGCATCTCATGATCTCTGAAACTCTGTTTTCTCATGGGACTTATAAAAATCCCTGGGGCAAGGGTGCAAAGAAACCCTTGGGTGGGATGGGCTCGAAGAGTGCCAGCTTGACCATTGCCATGGGCTCCCTGTGCAGACTCCTGACGCATGGGTAGGATAACCCAGCCCGCGGGAGAGCAAGACCTCCTGTCCGCTACCTCCTGCCATGGGAAGTCCACCCAAGTCAGCCGATCTCTCCGCTGTGCTGGATCGTGGGGGCTGCAGGCACTGACGTGACATCGGCGGTGCCAACGCAGGGCTGGCAGGACCGTGCCCATTGACGCATTGCTGTCGGGGCGCTGCACATGCCAGCGAGCCGAGCCTCATAGCTCCTGAGTCCTGCAGGGCTGCTGGAAGCTGGTGGGCTTCCTTAAAAAGAGTCAGGAAATCTTTGAAGCCTTTCTCTTTGTTTCTGGACCTGCTTTGAAAGAGAGATGAAGCAGGCATTGGACGCTGGGCCAGCACGGAGTTGCACTCAGCGGTCTCTGCCTGTCCTGCAGCTGGTTCTGAGATGCCCCTTCCCATTGCAACCACCCTCCAAAAAGTCCTGGCTGCTAATCAGGTGGATTTGATAACGGCTCCTATTGCCCCGTCCTCGGACAGGCGTGGTAATATCATTACAACAGCTCTCACCGACCGGCAGGGACCGGGGCGGTAATTACCAAGGAGTTAATTAGGGAAGGGCCGTCAGTGCTGCAGCATCCCTGCTCCCCGGGGCTTGGGCTGGCAGGTCGGGGTGGTGGCAGCAGCCAGCTTTCAAGCAGGAAGCGGTTCCCGCTGGAGCCCAAGCCTCTGATCAGAAGAGAGGCCCTTACGGCTTTCAAACGACCTTGACCGTGCGGAGATCGGGAGCCTTTCCCCATCAGGTTACCGGCAGGTTGCAATAATTTCCAGGCCCCATTTGAGGGACTTGTTCTTTCTAACGAGTAGGCTCTGCCCCTGCTGTTTTTTCCCTCATCTGTAATGTCCCATTAATGGATTTCTAACAGCCCCTCTCGTCTAGGCTGTACCGGCATGACCCTTGACACAGGCAGGTGGAGGGCCAGAGATATCCTGGGGAAAATGCTGGTTTTATTTATTGCATCCAGACATAATGGAAACAATATCTGCTCTTGACCCCACCAAGGCCTCACAAAGTCCTATTCTCTGGAGGAAAACACAGTCAAAATAGCCAAGCCTTAATTCAAAAACATGAGTCTCGCAAACGAGGCTCGGGAGACCGCTGCGGATGCCATCATCATAGGTCAACGCCACTTAAAACCAACTCAGGGACTATTTAGAGGCAGGCAAAGGATGCCTTGGATCCATCACCACTTTTAATCAGTCTCTCGCTTATTGATAGAGCTGCTGCCTCGAACCACCCCGGTCCCCAAAGAGCCCCGAACGCTAGCGGTGCCGAGCGGCTGCGCGGCGGTCGTTTGTCTGGCGACGCGCAGCCAGCGGTGCGGCCGGGGGCTGCTTGTGAGCGGCCGCCTGTTGCTCTCAGGTTTGCACGGCCCCAGATTACCGCTCATCACAGCGTCCTGCCCGCAGGGCTTTTTAAGCAGACATTTTAATCTGAAACCAGGACCATCGTTGAGAAGCTTCTCTGGAAACGCAGTTCAGCCTTAAAGTGCTTCGTGTCAGATCCCTGCCTTTCACAGGGCCTGCTCTGAATTGCTTCCCAGTCCCTTTCTCAGGAGAGAAAAAAGCCTAAAAGAGACAAAAAAAAATTGTGTTTTTTTTCCTGGGCCATTTTATTTAAACCCTGCTCCTCTCGCGGCGAGAAGGGAAGCCTGCTTGGGACAAATCCCGCATATTATGGGTGCAGTTAGATGGGGAGGAGAGACCCTGAAACCTTTCCCTTCATTACAGCTCCACTTCCTTTAATGGCCCCACCAGCCTTTCAAGTCCCAAAGTCGCTGTCGCTGCTGCGCAGTTTCCTGAATATTTCTCTATAATTTGAGCCGTGCCGGTAGATTCTCACTCCGAGACCTTGAAGTTGTTCAGCGTGTCATCTTGTCGGGCTCATTTGATCTTCCCAATTCCCCTTCCATTTCATATTTCCTTTCAATTGGCAGCCCAAGGAAGGTTTTCATCTCCTGCTCGAACTCTGCTCGTATTCAAGAGCTGCGGCTCGTATGTGAGGTTTTGCATACTCCCAGCATAAGGCTCTGGCCAAGCAGAGCCCAACCCATTACAGGAACGGGCCGTGTTTCAAGCCAGGTTTGATTTCAGAACAATTTTACCTTCCTTTGTTATCTTTCCCCTTTTGAAAATGCAGAAGAGAGATGGATGGCTGGCTCAAGGACAGACTCTGACAGGCGACGGGCCCAGCGTGGCGTATTGGGCAAACACAGGCGTCGCTACCCCAGACCACTTACAGGAAAAGGGAAGGAAAGGCAGGATTATTATTGCCCCCCCGGCCCTCGCCTCCCTTCAAAGGAGCACCCCGAGGTCCCTGGCTGAGCGAGGAGCAAACCCCAGGTGCCCGCACGGTCCCACGTCTCGGGGCCGTAGACACCCGGGCTGAAAAGGGCACAGAGACGCGTGCCCGCGGCAGGAGGACGCTGGGACCCTTTGCTGGGCTGGGAGCACGGCGAGCCGCCGAGGGTGAATGCTCTTCATCCCACTTTAGCCAGACAGGCGTTTTCCACCAAAAGAAAGAAAACTCGATTTGTTCCCACAATGGTTTGAGGGCTCTCGCTGGGAAATCGTCACACTGACCCCATGCAGACACGGGCGTACGCACACACCCAAGAGGGACGGTGTTTCTCGGGCTTCAGGTTTCCCGCGAAGACCCCGAATCCGAGGAAACCGTCTGATGACAGTGAAAACAAATCATCCTGGCAGTTTTCAGCAGGGCTGGGGGGGAAGGTCATTCCCCAGCAGGGAGGGTCTGACCGATTCAATACCTTTTACCTGCACAAATATACTCCGAGCTGCGCAGCGTATTCAGGCCTTGTTATATTCCACCTAATCCATGCCTCTGTCAGTGCAGAGCTGTTTCCTACAAGACGTTGTCTAGTGCTTTGTCCAGTTTAGTTTTAAATTGCCCAAGTGATGGACACGTTAATAGAGCAGGCTATATGTACACGCACGGCGGAGGGGAGGCGGCGAGTCCCTTTCTGCACAGAGCTGCATTATAAGGTTGTTTTGCCCAGTCTGCCTTGGCTGGCTGGACTGTCTCCCCACGAAGTGGAAGGGCAGGATGTCTCCCTGAGTATCCCTGCACCTGGAGGGGACTCTGGGTGTGGGGAGGGAGGACATCTCCCTTCTGCTGCGGGGTGGATTTTTGGCCGGATGGGTGCGAAGCGCCCGGGATGCTCAGAAGGAAGCAGCGACGACGCCAGTCGGTGCGGCGGGTTCGGGAGCTGCTGGGCCATTTCTGGTTTGGATGCAACTGCTTGGAAAGTGCAGCTAAACCGCTCCAGAAATAGGCATGTTGCTCTTGCGGACCCTCCCTGCCCACCCTGGGTCTGGTATATCCCGCCTGACGCTGCCCCAGATCTCGGGGGGGAGGCCCGTGCTCCGGCGTGCCAGGAAAGCCCTTGGCCGTGCTGGACGACGGGATGGCGGCTCCAGGCAGAGGAGCCCCGTGCTGGTGCGTTCTCAGCCGCCCCGTCCTGCAAGCGTGCCTGTTCCCCTCTCCGTCCCGCCAGCCTCCTGCTCCCCTGTGGCTGCACGTCCTCTACCCCGACCTTCACACGGGCCCGACTGGACGTGCCTTACGGAGACCTTGCTTTTCCAGGCACCAGCCCCCTGTGGTGCAGGGCACGGATCCTGGCCCTGCGTCTCCATCCGTGCCCCGAGCTGGGCGCCGGCAGGGCTGGGCAGTCCCCCACCCACAAAGGCTGTTTCTTCCCCGTCCCCTGTGGTGTTTGCCAGGAGACACCCCCAGCCTCACCGGCTTTCCTTGTGCCTCCGCAGGTTCAGCCCGTACGAGTGGTACGACGCTCACCCCTGCAACCCGGGGTCCGACATCGTGGAGAACAACTTCACGCTGCTGAACAGCTTCTGGTTCGGGATGGGAGCCTTAATGCAGCAAGGTAAGCACGGCTCCCGCGCCCGGTGCTGCCTCCGCCACGCACGCCTCTCCTCTTCTTTGACAAGCGTGACTGCGTTTCACCTGTCTCCCCGTTAAAACGAGCAAAGAACAAGCGGGAGGCATAATGCTTCCAGCACCGCCCGGGCTGTCACGAAGCCGCGGAGCAGGGGAGAGCCGCTCCGTCACCGCACGCTGACAGGCAGCGACATTGGTTTTGAAATTGCAGAGTTTTGTCTCTTAACAATTACAGAAATGCTTGTCAACACTGGCTTTTGTCTCCGTTGGAGAGGCGGGGGGGTGTGGGAGCGGGGAGATCTCTCTCTTCTGACAGCTCACGGTACCCACCGTGCTGTGAAATGTTTGTCTCTCCCGTTACTCTTTCTGATTGAGATGTACCGTATGCACGCGGCTTTGCTCAGATGGAGCCAGCTCCCTGGAGAGGGTGAGCAAGGTTGCTGGCGTGCATTGCGCACAATCCCGGGCTTCGCACTAACTGGCTGCAGGCGGGCGGGCGCGCGCGTACCGGGCTTCCTGGGGGGAACGAGACCGGAAAGGGGTTAATTAGATAAACGCCCCAGTGGAATTAATCTGATCAATGGAAAGCAGCCATGATTTGGAGTTCACAAGGTCCTGGTGACTCTGCTTGGTATGATTCACTCTCCATGAATTTCATTTTCGTTTATGGGCATCTATTCGAGCCGTGCTGTGTTGTCAGCTTGGGAGCTCGCGGAGCTGGCTTGGAAAAATAAGGAGGGGTAGGAGGGGGAGCGAGGACGTTAAAACCTATGGGAGGAAGGCAAGCAGCAGGACCGGCCCAGCCCAGGACACAAATCCAGCTGCGGCAGGATGAGATCTGCTGCGAGGTGTCTCCAGGAAGCCTTAGCCCTGCTGCTGCCGGAGCAGGCTGGAGGCTCGAGAGCTTTCCCTGGTCCGAGAGCAGCATCTCCGTTATCCAAACCACCTTGCACAGGAGCCCCTGGATGAAGCCCTCACCTCGCGGGGCACGGCAGGCCGGGGTCACAAAGCAAGGATGGGGTCTGAAGGCCACGTGGCCGCACCTGCTCCATCGCCCTCTCTCTAGAAGACCCCTTTCCTGGCCGATGCCTCCTCATCCTCCAAGGTCCAAAGCAGGCCCCTGGGCTGTGGGTCCTGCCAAGCCCACGCTGCCCGGGTGGAGGGGCGAAGGGGGTTGTGCATGCCGGGGGGGCACTGGGAGGGGACCCGGTCCTGTGCATCACCCCCGGGTGCCCTGCCGGAGGGTGGCAGGATGGAGAAATGCTTCTGCTGCTGATAACCGGTGTGACGTGTTTTCCAGCGTGTACCAAGGGTGCACACGCATTAAAGGCTCTAGGGAGGGATGTGAAAATCTGAATGCCTAGAAAGCATTAAGCGAATTTATTAAATTGTAGGGTCCCAGCTTGCAGCCAGGCCTCAGCTCTCCTGGCTTGCTCTGGGCAAAGACTAGCGCCCGCCTTTGTGTGTTCACTGGGGTGCAGAGCCTCCCACCCCCCCAAAGCTCGGCACAGGCCCAGGGCAGCCCAGCAAACCACCTCCTCCATCTCACGCGTCCCCTCCCCAAGCATCAGCAGTCGGACAGGTGCAGGTCTGCCTGGTCTCACAGAGCCCCTCGGACACGGTAGTCCTGCCGCGTCAACGCGAGGAGTGTTTGCATGTGAAGGTGCGCGGTGTGCCCGCCCCGGGGGAAAACCCATCTAATAATATGGAGAGGAAGTCTCTGCAGCTTCAGTTCACTCAGTGCAGTAGCTGTGCCTGGGGTTTTTCTCGCTCAAGTAATTTGAGCAATTCATGTATGACCCGGATGCTTTGCCCTATTTACTGTCTGTTGGTCAGCTCAGCTCTTACATGAAGCAGAGGGTACAGTATTGCCCTCCACGTACCCAGATGCACAGTCAGCATACCGGTCCCAAAGCAATGCAGTTCGTGTCGAGTTTTTCCGGACTGGCTCCGAGCCCCACAAGCCTTGTCTGTTGGAGATCAGCCGAGTACAGTATCAAACTATCACATGGGCTTAAGCCCAATGAATTCAGCAGTTGCATTGCTACAAACACATCCCAGGGCCCTTGGTGTCAGTAATTCACAATATATTCCCAGAGGGCTCCAGGGGCTTCCTGTTGCAGCCCTGAGATGATGTGATGGATGGCACAGAGATCAATTTTCTTGATTGGTCTCGTCTAGATTTCAAAAACAAACTTTCAGAGTGAGCAAACCAGGTGTCTGAGTCTGCCTCGGCCTTGGCGTGGGATGGACCATGTCGGAGACCCAAAAAGAGACGCGCTAAAAGACTGGCGAGGAAATCCCAACGTGACGGGAGCCCTTCCCGTTGCTGAAACTGAGGGCCCATAGCGGTTCATGCCAGGAAAAAGATCAGCAGCTGTTTTCCAGGCCAAAGGGGCCAGTTTTCCAGCAGCTGGGTTGGATTTGTTTTCAAGGTACTAACCCACCTTGACCAAAAATGGAGCAATTTTAAGCTCGGGGGGAAAACAGGGCTCAGTCCCAGGAGGGTGCCGTGCAGGAAGGCACTGCGGGCTGTGCTGCGTCTCTGAACCCGCCCTGCACGATCACGTTTAGAGCAAGGGAGCGCGGCTCCGCACGGGGCCTGCAAGGACCGGGAGCCCCTTCCCCATCCCACTGCGCTCCTGAGAAGAGGACCTCACGTCTCCTCTGCTCGCCCAGTCCGACCTGTTTGTCCCTCGCTGAGCCGCGTCGGGTGCAACGAGCCCAGATGAGAGCCCAGGCTCTGCCTGGAAAACACGCAGGGTTTTGAATGAGGCCTTTTATCACGACGTAGGCTTACAAACCCTGCAGGCTCTGTTGTAGCAAGAAGACTTAACGCTGCGGTGAAACTCAGCTCGTTGAGGGCCTGGCCCAAAGCCCAGCAGAGCCGATGAAAAGACCCGCCATTGCCCTCATGGCCGTGACCATCTACATCACATCAGAAACATGTAGTTATTCAGCCAGAGGCTGGGGATGCCCTGTCCTGTCCCAAACCGATGCAATCCCAAGGATGAAATCGGGCACGATTTGCTGTCCCAATTGCACGGGTTTGTTTGGCGAGGAAGAAAATCTAGGAAAATGACGACCCAGGTGAGGCCAATTCAGGAGCAGAAATAAATGAAAGGTGTGAAGCGTGTTACCCCTGGTCAGTCTGGTCTATTGGACGTCAGCGGTACCCAGGCCGTTGGCCTAGCGGCTCCTACAAAAAATGCTCTTCGGGACTCTTTTGGTGGCGATATTGCAGCGCGTTATAACTCTTTTTCCCTGGAGCAGGGACGCCCGCATCGCAATGTTGGGATCAAAGAGGGTGGGTTAGCAGGATGAGTCCCAGATCCCGCGGGAACAGCCGCGTTGCCCCTAGCTCACCTCTACGTCTGAGATGCCAGGAGAGCAAAGCCGTGCTAGCGTCACACCGTCGCCGGCTCAGCAGCAGGCAGCGAGGGAGGAATACGTTCCTGTTGAAAGCTGAATTGGGACCACCTTGCACCCAGAGCGGGGTTTCACTACGTTTTGTGCTCTGTTTTAATGCCAGGTGGCTTAAAATTGCCTCGTACGACCCATCTTCCCTTGCAGATTCTAGGTCAGAAATGTCCTCTGGCTGCAATAGCTTCAAACCCAGTCATCTTCCCCATCTTTAACAAGTATCTCAGGTGATTGCAAAAATAGCACAGCCCATTTAATCCTTCCTGTCTGCTCAATAAAAGTCATTCCAGACCTGTTACCCCTTTCATGCTATAATAACTCCTCCTGTCCCACCTCCAGCTGCTGTTCAAAGTATCGGACCATAATCATTTCCCTCTTTCACTGTTTGATTTTATTTTTTATTATTTTTTTTAAAAGCCTTGTGTATTTGAACACTCTCCCTGGAGTGAGTCCTTTGAAAAGTAATCCGTATAAAAGCAAAGCGCTTTTTAAATGGCAGAACAAAACACTCATAAAAGTTCACAAATGGCTTGCTATTTAAATCTCATAAAAGCAGCCGAGTTAATTACTTCGGTTTGAAGGTTTCCTGTGAATTGTGCCCAAGGTCAGCAAGAAAGAGAAGAATTTTTGGAAATGCTGAAGGAAAAAACCCCCAAAAGGCCCCCGATTTCCTTGCACGCGGGTAAGGTGCGTGAAGAGGCGCGTAGCTGTTACAGCCTGACAATGCGGCCTGGTGCTTGAAATACATATATTGGTTTCTTGCCCCGCTCTCTCCCTGCGGGTTTTCCTTTCCTTTTCTTTTCTTTTTCACGCTGCTCTGCTCGTCCCCCCAGGGTCTGAGCTGATGCCCAAAGCGCTGTCCACGCGGATCATCGGCGGTATCTGGTGGTTCTTCACGCTGATCATCATCTCTTCCTACACGGCCAACCTGGCCGCCTTCCTGACCGTGGAGAGGATGGAGTCTCCCATCGACTCTGCCGACGATCTGGCAAAGCAGACGAAGATCGAGTACGGCGCTGTGAAGGATGGAGCTACGATGACCTTCTTCAAGGTGAGGCCCCTCGTATGCTTCGCCGCTCCTGGCGGAGACGCCAACATGAGCAGCGCCCGGGTTGTGCTCTCAGAGCAGCGGTCCTCTGCCTTTTTAGACCCAAGGTGCCCATCGCTAGACTCGGGGCACCCGTGGAAAATGCCGACTCTTCCTTTTCTCTCCCTTTTTTTTGACTGCAAAAAAGATAATAGAGCATTTTTTTCTGTTGCAAAGAACTCAGAAAGACCACACCAGGTCAGCATGGTTTTAACTCTCTTGATTCCTATGTGAAATCTCCAGGTTCGTCTTGTGAATCAGGTTCGCACGCCCTAAGATTGGGCGAACACGGTGCTTGGCACCCTGGTAGAGCATCACTGTCTTAGCCCGATGCGAGTGAGACCAGGCAGGCCAGCTCGGTGACTCTCGTCCTTGGGGACTGGTCACACTTGCATCTTTGCTAGGCCTTGTCTGTCCCACTAAGTCACTCCGACTATGGAGCACTCAAAACCTCCATCTCCCAGATGCTAATAGGTATGTCTCTTAAGGCTGAATTGCACTGATATTATGGCTTCTGAAACAGGGAACTCCACTCCACGCCGGTTCAGATGACCCAAGATGGAAGATGCATTCCCACATCAAAGCCGAGCTTCTGTCTTGTTATATAAATGCACACACACTAGTCCTCCAGAAAGTCTTATTTCCTCCTGCATCTCTTCCCTGATCCCTCGGCTGCTTCTCAGTAATGACTCTCTGGAGCCCTTGAAGATAAAATGATTGGCTTCCAAGTGAATTCAGAATCAAACAGAAAGAGAAAGGGAGAAGTGCAGGGGAAAGAACAACTAGATCTAGACAAATGCTGTACATACTTTCCACCAATATTTTTAAGCCTATTCAGTCTTCATGGAAACACTGATGTAATCAAGTGTTATTAGTACAAAAGCTCTCTGATCACAATTTTCTGCAAGCCTGCCAGGCAGCAAGGGACACGTATTGAATCGGGGGTCAGAGGCACATCAGATGTCTGGTATGCCCAACCACCCCTGCTCCAAGAGCATAAAAAAACACCGAGCAGCAAACCTATCTGAGGCTGAGGCTTGCTCGTGGTTCCCTAATGCACAGAACAGATTTTTAGTTCTTGGTCCTTGTCCTTCCTTAGGAGCACTGTGGCATTTACCAACCTAATTTGCAAAGAGCGGTGCTTTGTTTGTAACCGAGCAGGCTAGCGCAACGGTTAATTGTTGCCTGGGCCTCTCGAGCACCCACTAATAGAACTACATCTTTCATACCTCACGAGGATAAGTAGAAAACTACATTCAAGAGAAGAGCTGTCCGTTTTCAAACACAAAGAGGTGAACTTCGTTGCATCAATTATTCACTTACCATTATGTTGCAAAAGTTTGATCCTCTAGAGAGATCATTACCAGGAATTATGGACTACTAGTAAGTAAAAGGCCCTTAAGGTCTGCCTTGGGCCTCTTAAATGCCAAGCTTGTGTAGTGCCTGACTATTCCCTTGCTACGAAGTTCTTGTAATAGCTGCACCCTTCTCCCATCCCTAAATAGAGCAGGGCAGATGGCTTGTCGTCTGCCTCTAATAAGAGGTCAGCTGCGCAGCACAGGTGAGGTTAGGACTCGCACGAAACCAGAACATTTCCAGGACTGTTCTACCTTGATCTCCAGAAAACAAGTGAACAGAGTAATGTCCTGAGAAGTACGGCGTGGCCCTCACCCCCATTTCAGGAAGCCGGCACTGTATCGTGCCAAGCCGTCCGCTCGTCCCTGGGTACCGACCGGCATCCCCAAGCGCGGCCGGCGAATGAGGTCTGAAAAGGGAGGGATTCCCAGAAGGACGATCAGCCCTTTCTCAAAACCGCCCCCCTTTAAACTCCCATCTCCAAACCGGGCACGCCGGGCCTGCCAGCTCGGCTCGCGTCCCCTCCCCAACACCGATCTCAGGAGGCACAGGGCGAGGGCAGTCCATCGAGGGCAACCGTCCGCTCATTTCTGGTCAACCTGGCAGCCCCCCGGACAGGAGCCGGAGGCTGAGAGCTCGCCACACGTGCGAGAAAGCCTCGGAGGGACCTCAATCTGCTTCGCCACCAACCTCAGGGCTTTCCACGATCTCCATCACGCTGCCTCTCAGACCCAACGAGAAGGAAGCAGTCAGGAATTGTGTCCTCGAATAGGAAGTGTATTAAAGAATCGGTAACCCAAGAGACACCGTCACTCGGGAAATCTAGAACAAGAGCTAACGGGATTCGGGGAGTACCGCGTCCAGCTGGCGTTAATAGTTAATCAGACGCTAAGTGCCTTGGAGGAAAGGACGCGTGTCAAAGGGAGGGAAGGGAGAAGCAGACCCCCGACGAGCCAGGGGAGGGGAACCGGATCCGCTTCGTCTCTCAGCGATTTCCTTTCCGATTCTGTGTTAAGATGGTTTTTGCGACCACGCCTGCAAACACGCAGGCAGCGCAGTGCCACCAATACGCTGCAGCCCACCCCGAGAAGGAAATTACATTAATTCCTTCAGATTAAAGGGAAATGTATTTCAGAAGTTGTCCGACACCGTGGAGAACATGTAAAGAGCTCTCACATTTTACAACTGCTTAGAAGATGAAAATTAATTGAGAGATTTAAGAAGGCCTTTGAAACCACAGCTGGGTTGTAAAAGAATGTGTTATGGAGAGAGAGAAGAAAGGCAAGGGAAAGGGGGGAATTATCTGGGGGAATAGGGTCCTTTGCAAACATGAGTTTCGGGTTGGTTTTTTTATTATTATTATTAAGTTGTGAGGATGAATTTTAAGTAGACTCGGCCGAGGGAGAGGCTGGAGATGGGAGATGCAGGCTTGTAGCCCGTGCTGCTGGTAGGAATCTCAGTCAGGCTGGCGGGTTCGATGCCAAACCAACGGCTTCGCTGCATCCGCGCCGAGCACGACGGGTTGGGACAGCCCAGGACCCCTCACCGACCGAGGGCACGCATCCAACATGGCATCGCTGAGCTGAGTCCACGCCGGCACCAGCACCTTGCCGTCGCGAATGAACATTCACCTCCCGGCACCCTCTCAGGCGGGAAGGGCTATCCCCATTTTCACATGGGGTATTCATCGGAGATGAAGTGACTTGCCCAAAGTGAACCAGACCCTCTCAAGCCCTGCGGGACACCCTCTCCTCTCTTCACCCACCCCAGTACGGCGTGCGTGGCCTGACGTCCTAGTGCAGCCCGGCCGTGGACGTAACCAGGCAGTAAATAACAAGATTTGCAATGGCTCCTCGAGCAGGTCCACCCTGGCGGGGCACGATCTCCATGCCCAACGAACGTTTTGCTGTTTTACAACGTCCACCCTTCTTCGATGTCAGCTCCCGTGCGAGGCAGAGGAGCCGAAGTCTCTGCTAGCGCGGAGAGACCGGCGCGCGGGAGGGACGGCGGCCTCCAGGCCGGGGAAGCCAGGAAGGGGCTGCCTCGCCGCCCCGGCTCTCAAGAACGCCCCTTTCCCCCTCACATTCTTTCAATTCACGAGAAAATCCATGGACCTAAACGTGACAAAGACAGTTCGCGTCTCTGAACCCGTCCGTGCCTGGAATACCGTAATGAGTTGATTGGGCACCGAATAACGGCGTCCAGATTAGACCGTCAGCAGTTTAATAGCCAAGACTCGTTAAAGGCAGCTGCTGTTCTGAATTTTAATAACAAGAGCGAACGGAGCAGCCCCGTAGCCTGCTCTTGGCGGTGACATTGGTGGAGCGCGGCTCTGCCGTCCAGAGGCCCGGGCTCGTTTTGGGAGGCTGCGCACACGGGCTGCTAAAGAAATGCAATTTTTGCTGCTGTTGATTTAATTCTGCAGCTAGGGCCTTGAAGACCAAACTCCTGCCGCTAGAGGTCCGGTCTCCTTCTGCAGCGGAGCCGGTGCATGCCGCGTCGGCGCTGGCACGGCCCCCCGGCCACGTTACCTTCATACGTGGTACGGCAGGAGAGCAGCCGCGAGGCAGAAATCGACTCTACTGGGGTTAATTAGCCTGATAGGACTGCTGTGTGGAAATACAGGAAAACTCTTTGCTGATTTTTATCAACAAGGACACGATGCCTTTATAGCTCCTATTCCCTGTCCGTCAGGCTCGTTCTTTGGGCAGCCCACAACTACCTGGCAGAGCGTACCGAGACTTCGCAGCATATTTTATTTTGTCCTGATTACTGTTAAGAGGTGAATTCCCCATGGGGGAGATTGTCCTACCACTTCTCCAGGCAGTGGGATGAGCAGGACGCCCCGTCTGGTTTTCACACGCATGGAAATGCCGTTGAGTTTCCTTCGTGATGACCCTCCCGCCCCAGCCCGGCCCGGGTCCCGAGCCAACGTGACCATCACTTCCCAACCGCCTCAGTGCAGGCGACGATCAGGTCCAGCATGTCTTCGTCCTGCATTGGGAGGGGGGTTGCCCTGCAAAGCTAGCAGCTTTACGGCAGCTCTTCTTGAGACGTATTTAACAAAGTGCATGGGCAGTCAGGCGCATCCTGGACCAGAGGACGCAGGTGCCATCCCTGCTAAGGGTATCTGCTGCTGCGGGTTGGGTTCGTACCAACCAGGGCCACCTAGAAGGAGACCAGAGCTACCACCTTCCTCATTTCAGGACGAGGGGCCCATGCCTGATCCCCGGGGCCAGGAGCTCAGCCCTCCCCAGCTCTGGAAGCTCCCTTTGCCCGCTGCGGAGCTCCGATCCCCGGTCCCTGCAACTCGCCCTTTCGGACACGGCGCATCGCTTTGGTCTGCAGCTTCCCTTGCCTCCAGCAGCATCGCGGAGCGGTAGCCGAGGAGGTCGGGACAGGATCAGCTGCGAGCAGAGCCAGAGGGAAGAGAAGGAGCGAGGCTAGAAATCCCTGCCCTCCTCCCCGAGAAGGGCCACAGCAAGCCGGAGGAGGGCCCCGTCTGCGCCCCGTGGCATCGGCCATCCCAGGGTTTTGTCCAAAGCCCGCTGGAAAGATGCCCTTTGGCTCGGCTCAGCACGTGCCTATGAAGTAGACCCAGGCCTTGG